ACCCAGTCGGGACCATCTCCCCCATCCCATCCCCTCCCCCCACCCCCCTCCCCCCACCCCAGCACGAGCCACCACCCTACCCACAGACACACCTCACTCGCACACCACACCACACACTTTCCCCCACATAGACATAGTAATCTATCACTATGGGGAAGCGCAGGCGGAAGACAGAGGCCACAGAGGTCCAGACCCAGGACCAGGACCAGGAGCTCGTCATGGATGCCTCCTTTGACGAACTCTCCTCATCGGAGGAGAGCATGACCAGGTCCACCAGGTCCACCAAGTCCACCAAGTCCACCAAGTCCAAGAGCAATGCCGATGATGATCAGGATTCATACTCGGCAGATGCTTCTTCTGCGTCGTCGTATTGCTCGGGTGATGATGGGGTGAACCGGCGAAGAAGTGGTCGGGCAAGGCTAGCAAGAAGAAGGCAAAGGTGCCGTGGACGTATGATAACAAGCTGAGGGTGGTGGACAAGGCTCGGTTTGGTGGGATGGCGGAGAAGGAGGAGGAAGAGTTCAAGGTGCCGACCCGAAAGGAACTGGAGAAGCTGCGCAACACAAAGCAGCTGTTCAAGTCAAACCTGTTCAAGATGCAGGTCGACGAGCTCCTGGCTGCTGTCACCATCGACTACGATCGGACGCAGGCCACAAAGTCGGCTCTGTTTGATGTCCGCGCCGCTCTGCTTGATCTCGAACTCGGCCCGCTTACCCCACCGCCGACAGACGCCAATCTTGTGGGCTCGTTCCTCACTCAGACCTGCGTCAAGCCCGCGCTCAACGTCGACATTGGCTTTGTCATTCCGCCGGCCATGGTCATTCCCAAAGACTACGTCAACAACCGCTACCCGTCGACTCGCGCTGCTTACGTGGCCCAGATTGCCACCGCTCTCGCCGCCGCTCTGCGTGCAAAGTCCAAGCGCTACGCCAAGACCAAGGTCCAGACCGTCGGCTTTGCTGGCGACGAGACAAAGCCCATCATCGCCATCTCCCACATTGGGCCTGACACAGAGTCGTTCGAGGGCAAGAAAGTGGCCACGCCATTTACCATCAAGCTCATCCCGGTCCTCGACTCGGCGGCCCCGGTCTTTGAGGCCCGCAAGCTTGGCCCGGCCCGCAACAACCTTCGCAAGCCGCACTTTGGCCTCTCGACCGCCACCCCACTCTACAACGCCGCCATTCTCGAGGATCTCATCCTCCCCGGCCAACTCCCGCTCTTGCATGCCGCCACCTCGTCCGATACCTACGGCGACGCACTCCGTGGTGCCATCGTTCTCGCCAAGGTCTGGCTCGCCAAGCACGGCCAGGGCGCAGGATGCGGCGTGCCCGGCCGTCTCGCCGGCCTCCACGTCTCGCTCATCCTCCTCCATCTGCTCATCTCGCGCAAGGTCCCGCGCTCGACCTCGTCGTACCTGCTGTTCAAGGCTCTGCTCGAGTTCCTCGCTGCGGCTGGCCCGGAGCCGCAGCCGATGTTTCTCGCGCTGCCGGTCGACGACGACGGCTGGCCGCTCGGCATTGGTCCCATCCTGTCCAAGGCCGGCGTGAAGAGCCCGGTGCCGGCCGAACCCGACGCGGTGCTCCTCGCCGCCGGCGCTGGCTACGACGTCTCCCTGCTTGACCCGACCGGCTCGTACAACTTTGCCTGGAGAGTGAGCGCCTCGGCGTGGTCGTCGGCGTCGTGGACGGCCCAGCGGTCGCTGGCGGTTCTTGAACAGCCCTCGCTCCTTGTCGACGCCTTTGCCTCGCTGTTTGCCCGCGATCTCCCAGCTGTCGCCACCTTTGACACCATCATCCGCATCCACCCGTTGCCGGACGTGGCCGACGCCTTTGCCGGCGAGGAGAGCCGAGTCACCCACGAGGGCGGCTTTGCCCGCGCACTCGCCTCGCGCGCCCACTCGGTCCTCACGCGTGGCCTCGGCAAGCGCGCCGTCGGCGTTGACGTCCAGATGGGCGGCAGCCACGGCCCGGACACGCTGTGGATTGGCCTCCGCCTCGCGCCGCTCCACTCGATCGGCATCGTTGACATGGGCCCATCCGCCGACTCGGGCGAGCTCGCCGAGGCCTTCCGTGCCTTTTGGGGCGCCAAGGCCGAGCTTCGTCGGTTCGTCGACGGCTCCATCTGTGAAGCTGTCGTCTGGTCCAAGTACGAGAACCACCAGGAGGCCATTGTCGGCGCTGTCGTCAAGCACCTGCTCAAGCTCCACTGCAGCATTCCCCGCAAGACCTTGGCAATGCTCCCGGTCGAGCTCGGCGGCGTCGAGCCGCACACTCGCCGCGACTGGCACGGCTACATCGGCGACGTCAAGGCCGCCCGCAAGGCCGCCCAGGAGCTATCCACCCTCTTGCTCGGCATCACCTCGCTCCCGCTCGACATCTCGTCGGTCCGCCCCGCAAGCCCCGCGCTCACCGCCACCTCGGCCGGTCCGCTCCTCAAGCCCGGCGACGGGCGGATCCTCGTGGCGACCGGCCTCGAGATGGTCATCCAGTTCCGCGCCTCGGCCCACTGGCCGTCGGACCTTGTCGCGTTCCAGGCCATGAAGGCCGGCTTCCTCATCAAGCTTGCCCAGACCCTGCAGGTCCGGCACGGGCTCTCAGCCGTCCTCGACTCGAACGGGCACGGGCCGATGGGCGCCCCGGTGCTCGATGTCTTCTTTGCAGACTTTGTCTTTCGCCTCGTCATCCACCACCCGCACGAGATCGCCATGCTGCAGCAGCGCGTCGACGCCATCCGCTCGCGGTCGGCTCAGACCATGCTCGGTGACGACGCAGACGAGGCTGACGCCACGGCTGACGTGGCTGTCGCCGCCGCCGAGGCCGAACTCGCGGCGGTGACCGAGGTGCAGGAGCGCGCGCCGGAGCACGCCGCCGCCCTCGACGCATTTACCACCTCCCACCCGGCCTTCCCGGCCACAGCCGTGGCCTTCAAGGCCTGGCTCGCCGGCCACTGCTTCTCGGCCTCGCTCCCGTCGCGCGCCGCAGACCTCATCGTCGCCTACGCGCTCGACCAGTGGTCAGTCGCGGGCATGACTGTCAGCCCGCTCCCCGGCCTCCTCCGCGTCCTGCACCTTGTGGCCAACTTTGACTGGGAGCTCGACCCGCTCATTGTCCGCCTCGCTGCCGACGACATCGCCGTCGGCAACATCAACGACCTCTACGCCGCTTTCAAGGTCGCCCGCGCCGATGGTGTCGTCATGTTTATCGCCGATGCCTCCGCAGGTCCGCTCGTCACCCTCAACGCCCCCACTTCCACCGAGCTTGCTCGCCTCGTCCGCCTCGCCAAGGCCTCGGCACACCTCCTCGCTAAGATCGTCGAGCATGGCGGCCACGTCAGGCCCGCCTGGTGGGACGCCATCTTCAACCTTCAGCTCGCTGACTTTGACCTCATCGTCACCCTCAAGAACGCGCCCAAGCTCAAGGCCGCCACCGGCTCAAAGTACAAGAACCTTGTCAACGAGGAGGACACCCTCGTCAACTTTGAGCCCGGCGCATGGCTCGTTCGCCAGCTCCAGGCCCGCTACAGCGAACTCGCTACCATCTGCTACGGCGGTCGCGACATCATTGCCATCGCCTGGCGTACCGACCAGCTCGCTGCTACCTCTCGTCTCCGCCCGCTCGAGCCCGTCGCCGCCTTTAACTCGGCACCGGCCGCCGGCCTCGCCTCATCCGGTGACGCCGTCGTCTTTGACATTGTCGGCATGGTGGCCGACATCAAGGCCCTCGGTGGCGATCTTGTCACCGACGTCACGCTCCTCTAACCATCAGTCGAATGAACACCACTCACGTCCATGAATCGATGTGTAACACGTTTGCTCCGTCGCATGTCTCGGTTGCCTTGCCTCCCGCCCGTCCGCCACCCGTCGCCCCCCCCCCTCCGCCCGACCAACCCCCCTTCCTCCCTCCACCCCTCCTCCCCCCCCCCCCCCCTTCCACCAAATACTGCCACGAGTACATGGCGAGCTCAGCAGCAGAGTGCAGTTGGCAACAGCAGGTTGCACAGGGTGCCGGGAGGGAGGCGACGTGTGTTGCAAGCATGGCATGGGGTGAGGCCGGAGAGTCGGCCGTGGCCGTCGGCGAGAGCACGGGCCATGTCGAGGTGCTGAGACTGGGTATGGTGGACGGGGTGAGTGGGACTGGTGCTGAGACTGGGTCGGGGAAGGACAAGAACTTGCGGCTGCTCGCCCGGATCGATGCAAAGACCGGGCCCATCACCGCTCTCGCTGCCGGATGGCTCTCAGGTCTTGCGGCACAGGATCTGCTGGTGGGCGATGATGCTGGCGCTGTGGCGGTGGTCGGCGCAAGTACAGGGTCAGTCCTAGCCCATCATGCCCTGGGCGACGCGTCGGTGGTGGCTCTCGCTGCGCCGCTTCCGGACGCCACCGCGGCCGGGACCGGAAGTGGCGTACTGGGCGGCATTCCTGCCTCCAACCTTGCTTACGCTGCGCTGCTAGATGGATCGGTGGTGGCGTTTGACGCACGGTGTGTCATGTTTGTGGTGAGACTTGCTGACATCTCCCTGAGATCGCTAGTCCCGCCACCGGGTGAGCCGGCTGACGGCCCGAGCCGAGACGCTCACGTGGCGGCGGCCGTCGCAGCACTGGAGACCTCGCTCGCGCCGCCCGCCATCACGCTCTTTCGCGCCCGACCCGACGGCCCCCCGCTGGTGCTGGTCGCATCGGGGACGTGCCTGCTGGCGCTAGCAGATGCAGCCGTGGTGTGGGCCCGGTCGCTTGATGTGGCCATCACAGCGCTCGCCCTCGCGCCCGATGGCGCGGTGATCATCGGCACCGCTGACGGCGTCGTCCACCGCGCCACTGCCGAGGATCTGGCCGCCGAGAGCCGCCCTCTCCCGGTCTTTGCCGCCCTCACCACCGCCGTATTTGCGCTTGCCACCTCCCCGACCCGTCTCGCCATCGCCACCGCCTCGCCAAAGGTGGCCATCCGGTCGTATCCAGGCGGAGAGCTGCCGGCCCCAGGCCATGTCGAGCTCACGTCGTGGCCGGTCGGCGTCGACATCTCGAACTCATCACTCATCACCGTCTCTGACGACGGCTGCCTTGTCGTCACTGCCCTCGACGACAGTGGCCTTGCACCGATGTAGCCATGCGCGCCACCTGCACCGCCCTACTCGCTCGCAGTGCAGATCGTAAAGCTAGCCAGCCAGCTCGGCGCCTCGGCCTCTCTGCCCCTCTACCTCTTCTGCCCCTGCCACCGCCACCGCCACTCAACTCGGACGGGCAGGCTCGCAGTCGATGCAGGCGTCGCTCAACCCTGTTGCGGACTCTATCTCCCAACTTGTGGTGACTGCCATCAAGTTCCAGAACCACAACGTAGCCCCACCTCCAGCCATCAGTATGTCCACCCCCCCCCTGTGTATTCTTGTCTCATACCATGCGTCATACCCATACCCCCCCTCCCCCCCCCCCTCTCGCTCCAGGTGTCACTTCGTCAGAATTCGCCAACCGTTCCGCCGCCACCTGTGTCGGTCTTCTGCAAGCCGTACAAGGCAGTGCATATCTAGCCATACCACACAAATGCCATAGGGTAGTAGTATACATGTCTATGTATGTGTATGGGAATTAAGGTGTGTATGGGTGTGCGCATTCTCTCACACGAGCCGTCCTTCCCACCCCCCCCCCCTCCCTCCTCCTCCATCAACATCGCCCAAACAGCGCTCGGATGCGAAAAGGTGGGCGCCGCAGTGCAGACGCTGTGCTCTGTAGCCATCTCCCAGACCGAAGTGTATGCCGAGTACCCCGAGGTGGTGAGCGATCTGAACCAAGTCTCGCAGTCGATGCATACAGCTGGGGAAACGCTGCTCGCGGTCACCCGTAATCTCAGCAGCTACAAGGTGGGCAAGGCGTGGGCTGGTATCATCAATGGGTGCAGAGCCATTGGAGTCGCCGTCTCGGACTTCCTCAAGGCGCTCGACAAGGCTGCTGTCTCGCGCATTGCAAAGGTTGCGCGCGAACTGATGCTCTCGTTCAAGCAGCTGCGCGATGTGTTGCCGCGTGGCAACAGGCAGGGCTCGCTTCAGGTGCTGCAGCACATGAAGGCACTGGCTACCTCGCTGTGCAACCTCGTCGAGGCGCGCATCACCGAGGTGGCAGACTTTGACATGCGCGATGATCTGGAGCGCGGCGTGAGCTACGTCAACGGCGGGCTGACCCGACTGGCCAACGAGGCGGTGGTGCTGGTGAGGCAGCCGGGCGCTGATCCAACGGCATTCCACGAGGCCCTGGGCCAGCTGGCGCAGCTGGTCAACGCGCTCTCCAAGGCCGCATCGCGCCCGCCACAGCCACATAAGCGGCTGCCCGACTCGGTCGAGTTTGCCGAGCGCGAGTACCTCAAGCTCATGGTGCAAAAGTCGCAGGCGGTGGTGACCAAGGTCCAGGCGACACCTGTGCAGGTGACCGAGGTCCATGCCGAGGCGCACCAAAGTGTGCTTGACGAGATCGATGCCTTTGACGATGACGGCGAGGACGAGACGTCGGCGTTGGTCTCGATGGCCAAGAACCTGGCTTCGTCGATGCGGTCGCTGGCCGACGCTACCACCGCCTCCGAGGTGCTCCTCTCGTCGTCCGAGGTCTCCAAACAAACGCAGGCGTTTGTGGCGCGGGCGTCGATTGTCCGCAAGAACACGCCCGACGCCGCCGTGCGTGACCAGCTCGAGCGTGACATTGCCACCGTCCAGTCGCGGCCGTCGCAGCTCCAGTTTGCCGCCGTCGAGGTGACCGACGAGACCACGCCTGAGCCCGAGCGCAAGAACAAGGTCCGCAAAGAGTCCGAGTATCTTGCGTTGGCTGTCGCTGAGACTCTGCGTACACTCAAGGGTGAGGAGGCCGCCGCTGCCGCTGCCAAAAAGGCCGCATCAGCGCCGAGTGCCGAACCTTGTCCTGCCGCTGCTTCCGCCTCGGAGCCAGAGCCTGTGGTCGAACCCGAGCATGTGGCTCAGCCCGTAGCCGGGTCTCTGGCTGAGCCTGTGCCGTCTGCCGAGACGGATGAGCTGGCCGAACTTCTGGGTCAACTCGAGCCGGATGCCGATCCCGATGGCGATGGTGGTGCTAACGCGGGGGCAAGCGCAAGTGCAAGTGCCAGCGCAAGTGCAAGCACCAACCCGGCCGACACCAGCTTGCATGACTTGTTGGAGCAGATCGACCTGGCCAATGCTGAGAACGGAGAAAGCAATCTGGCAGCACAAGAGTTCTCGGACCTCGACGCGCTGCTTGACACGCTGGGTGCCGGCACTGAAGGTGAGACCGAGGCTGAGGCCGAGGCTGAAGCCGAAGCGCAGCGCGCGGCCCGCAAAGAGTCTGATGTGCTCAATGCGGCCATGGCAGCATTGGAGACAGGTGCAGCGCCGTCGGAACCCCGCAGGTTGCGGCTTTGGCGAGCGAGACGGCTGCGGCAGTCGATGATCTGGACGCAATGCTGGCAGCGCTAGGGCCAGAGGATGGGGTCTCGGGTGGCAGTGGTGTGGAAGGCGGGCACGGCGACGACGACTTGGATTCGATGCTGGCAGCGCTGGAGCCTGCGGGTGGCCAAACGAGTAGCAACGGTGTGGGTGATGCGCCCGCCATGGACGAGCTCGACTCGCTGCTGGCGGCGCTGTGATAGAGCGCACGGTAGTGTTACTTGTTTGCGGCGGCAAAGGCAGATGCTGCCGACGACGATAGGTGCGATGCGAGGATCGAGCTAAAGTCCGGAGTGGCTTCATAGCAGGCCTTAGCAGTGGCTCGGGCATGGGCGCGGACCTTGGAGTCGCGGTCCTTGAGCTGTTTGGCGACAATGTCGAGGAGGTCGCCGACGTCGCGGGCGTGGAGGGCCCGGCTGCCGCGGTGGACAACGAGCTGGGTAAAAGCATGGGCGACGGCGGCACGGATGAGCTTGTTCTTGGACTCGGCCTCGCCGCAGAGGGTGCCGATGGCACGCGAGAGTGCGACGTGGGTGACCATGGCCTCGAGGGTCGAGTAGACCTGCTCCTGCATAAAGGTCGACGATTCGCCAGCCTTCTTAACAAGGTCCGGAACCAGGCCGGTAAGATGTGAGGAGATGGGGCGGCCGAGGTGGGTAAACACGTTCTCGAGCAGCAACAGCGCTGCGCGTGAGACTGAGGAGCGGAGGTTGGCGACGCAGGTCCGGGTGGCCTCGACCAGGCGCGGGACGCCGTCCGAGGCGGCCACGACGGTGTCGGGCGAGTGGACAACAATGCGGCGAAGGAGCTCAAGGGCGCGGAACGCAACCTCCCACTCCTTGGCTGTAGACGCATCGTGGAGCGCGTGCTCGAGAGCGGCGTCGACGTCACCATCGACCGGCTGTAGCAGCTCGGTTGGAACTTGTTCGGCATTGTCGATTTTGGGTGATGCAGCGGCGCCGGCATACGACCTCATCGAGACAATGGACTTGGTCGAGGCGGTAGACATCCGCCGGGACGGCCGCCTTGAACTGTACCCGGCTTCAGCCTCGGCTGCATTGGAGTCGACGTCGGACATCCGCGAGGACATCGACGACGGCATCAACTGTGGCGAGACACTGCGGTTGAGGTCGACCGAGCGCTTGCGGCGGCGGCGATAGCTGGAGGTGCGGGCCGGCTCGTGGTCAGGATCTGGGCTGTGCGACGGCTTGCGGCGGCGGCGGCGACCGCTGGCTGTCGATGACATTGAATCGCCCAGCGGTATGTTGGGCACTGACGAGTCGAGGCGCGAAGAGGCCGAGCTGACCGAGTTCTTGCGACGGCGGCGGAGTGGGATTTGAGAGTCGGAGGCTTGCTCCGCAAGTGGAGCTACAGCAATGGAGGCCGCGCGGCGGCGGTCGGCGGTTGGCGAGAACGAGCCTGCATGTGAAGGCATCGGTGATGGCGAGTGGCCCGAGTCGGTTGGGGAGCGGGTCGACGACGAGCGGATCGAGACGGCGAGGGAGGTATCCGGGACGAGCGACAAGGTACGGCGACGCGAGGAGCCGCGGCGATGAGATGGGGTGCGCACTGCAGTGGGCTCGGGCTCGGGCTCGAGCCGTGGCTCGGACTTGGGCGCAAAGGCGATCGCGGACTGGGCCGAAGAGTCGACCGACTCGCGGCGAGCGGCCATGCGCTGGGAGGCACGGCGCTTGATGAGGCCGAGCCGTGGGGTGGACATGCGGCGCTTGTGCTTGCCGCCGCCGCCTCCGCTGCTGCGGGTAGGCTCCGCTTCGTCGAGGTCGTACGGGTCGACGATGGCATCGCGCGAGCTCCGGGTACGCTTGATGTGGCCGCCAAAGGTGCGCGGGGCGACGCGGCGACGGGACTGATCGGCGTCGTCAAGCATGATGTCGCGGCCGTGAATAGAGGATGCGCGAAAGACGCCACGAGATGACGAGGAGGATGCACCGCCGGCATGCGGGTGGTCTGATGCTTGCGAGCGGTCCACTCTGAGCGGCTGGACCGACGGCGGGGCGTTGCGGCGGGAGAGGACCGAGCTGGGGCCGGAACTGGCGTCGCGTGCGGCGCGGTACGAGGCGTGGCGGGCAGCGTATGAAGAGTGGTCGGCTGGCGAAACGTAGGGCGACGACGGCGAACGCGTGCTGCGGCCATTGGCATCCGTACGGAGCGACGACGGGGCAGATCGCGACGCGTCGTAGGTGTTGGCACGGCGGTGGCTTGATGGCGGGGTGTAGGCCGGGCCGTCGCGTGCGCCGCGGTCGTCACGGCCGCTATGGTCGCGGTACAAGGTGTCCGGTGCAAGCAGAGCACGGCGGGAGGAGCGGCGGCGGTGTGGGGTGCGGGAGGCCGAGACCTCGCTCGAGTGCGAGGCAGCCGACGACGGCGGGGGGGGAGCTGTGCGCCGTGCTCGACCACACCGTCTTCTGTGATGGTGGGCAGCGGGGTGGCGACCATGAGGACACGCAAGTCGTCGAGCGCGGCGTCCGACGGGGCAAAGCGGGCGAGCTCGTCGATGAGCGACTCGCCAACGTCGGTGTATGCGATAGCCAGAAACTCGAGAACCATGACGCCTGCGCGAGTCCGCGGCTGTTCGCCGAGCTCCAGACCGTTTTCTGTGAGGAGGCGCAGCAATGGGCGGAGGAGCGAGGCATAGGGAACGCGGGCGTCGGGAAAGAGCAGCAGAGCAGAGATGAGGAGGTTGAGCGATCGCTCGACGACGCGATGCGGTGGCGAGGTCTCGAGATGCTCTGCGAGATGGACGACGACCGGGAGCGGACCAAGGACATCATACAGATCGTGAAAGACCTTGACGACAGCCGAGACAAATACCACATGCTTGCCACCGAGTTCGTGAGCAAGACGGGGAACAAGGACCGAGAGCAGCGGCTTGAGAGCCGGACCAAAGCGGAGGACCAAGCACTCGATGATGTGCAAGCCTGTGAGAGCGACCTTGAACTTTGGATCAGCCAGCAGTTTGGTAGCCACATCACAGAGCTTGGCAAGGTGTCTCCGTACCGAAGGTATCTCCCTTGGCCCAAGTCCTTGCAAGCCGTCAAGCAGGGCATGGGCAGCCTGTGTCCGTTCTCGCCACGGTTGGGCAGAGAGTGCCTTGTACACCTCGTCCGGGAGGAACCCGAAGACCCTAGCCTCCATAGGGGGGGGGGGGGGTAGGGAAGGGGCGGGAATTTGCTGGAATTGGTGTGGTGGTGGGTTGGGTTTGGCTGGTGTGGTGATTGGAGGTGATTGGAGGTGTGTTTGGGGATGATCAGGGTGATCGGGATCGGGGTATGGGGGGGAGGGGGAGGGGGGGGGGGGGGGGGGTTAGGAGTGGAGTTGGGTGGGACGGGAGTGGAGGGAGGGT